GGTAAAAGGGGTCACTTTCAATGAACAGGCAACACTAAGGCCAGGCTGGCAAACTGATCCTTGTGGCAACCCACTGTAAATAACTAAGGCCCCAACATTAGCCAATGTATATTGATGACTTGGATGAAGAAAAAAAAAGGACCAGTTGCACTGTAGCCAAAGTTTGCTGACTGGGAACATTGATAGGGAGGCAAGACGGAGGAGAATGCCACAAGTCTCCATAGGAATAGAGAGAGAAAAATGAGTGGACAAACATTTCTATTCTTTCCACTCCAAGTGGACAAACAGAGTCAGTCAGTTGTACAGCACAGAACCAGACCTGCCAGTCTAACTCATCCATGCTGACCAGATATCCTAAATTAATCTAGTCCCATTTGCCAGCATTTGGCCCATATCCCTCTAAACCCTTCCTATTCATATACCCATCCAGATGCCTTTTAAATGTTGTAACTGTACCAGCCTCCTCCACTTCCTCTGGCAGCTCATTCCATACACACACCACCCTCTGAAAAAAATTGTCCCTCAAGCCTCTTAAATCTTTCCCCTCACCTTAAACCTATTCTCTCTAGTTTTGGACTCCCCTACCCCAGGGAAAGGCCATGACTATTCACCCTACCCATGCCCTTCATGATTTTATAACCTCTAAAGGTCACCTCTCAGCTGCCACTCTAGGGAAAACAGCCCCACCCTTTAGCTCAAACCCTCCAACCCAGGCAACATCCTTATAAATATTTTCTGCACCCTTTCAAGTTGCACAACATCCTTCCTACAGGAGGGAAGACCGGAATTGCACACAGCATTTTAAAAGTGGCCTAACCAACAATGTACAGCTGCAGCATGACCTCCCAACTCCTATACTCTGTGCACTGACCTATAAAGACAAGCATACCAACCACCACCTTCACTATCCTGTCTACCTGCAACTCAGCTTTCAAGGAAATATGAACCCACACCACTGCCCAGGGCCTTACACACCTTAACAATTAAGTCCTGCCCCAATTTGCCTTTCCAAAATGCAGCACCTCACTTGTTTAAATTAAACCGCACCTGATCAAGGTCCCGTTGTACTGGGATAGCCTTCTTTGCTGTCTGCTACACTAAATTTTGGTGTCATCTGCAAACTTATTAACCGTACCCATGTTCACATCCAAAGTCTTATTTTAAAAAAAAGTGATTAAAAAGTAGTGAACCCAGCACAGATCATTGTAACAAGCTGGTCACATGCCTCCAGTCTGAAAAGCAATCCACCACCACCCTCTATTCTACCTTCAAGCAAGTGCCCCCTGTATTCCATGTGATCTAACCTTGGCAACCATGAGGAACCTTGAACACCTTACTGAAGTTCATTAGATCACATACCACTCTGTCCTCAATCCTCTATTACTTCAAAATACTGAATTAAGTTAGACAATTTCCCCATCCACAAAGCCACTGACTATCCCTAATCAGTCCTTAACTTTCCAAATACACGCAAATCCTGGCCTTCAGGATTCCTTCCAACAACTTACCCAGCACCGATGTCAGGCTCACCGGTCTATGGTTCCTTGGCTTTACCTTACCACCTTTATTAAATAGTGGCACCACATTAACTAACCACCAATCTTCAGGCACCTCACTTGTGGTGATCAATGATACAAATATCTCAGTTGGGGGCCCAGCAATCACTTCCCTTGCTTCCCACAAAGTTATGAGATACACCTGATCAGGTCCTGGGGATTTATCAAGACAGCCAGCACATCTTTCAAGTGCAAAGACAGTAGACCAGTTTGAAGAATGTACAACTGTTTACAGTTCAGACTTCAGCATCCTCTGGAGAACTAAAGTCAGTAACAGTAATCCCATATAAAAACCTGAAAGAACTGCAGATGCCATAAATCAGGAAAAGAGAGTTAGTGTTTCAGGTCTGGTAACCCTTCTTCAGGAAGGGTCACCAGACCCAAAACATTAACTTTTTCCTTCACAGATGCTGCCAGACCTGCTGAGTTTTTCCAGCAACTTTGTTTTTAAACAGTAATCCCATGTGGTCATACCACAGATCTGCAGGATCTAGATATTGCTGTCAATGATACAGATGCAGTTTCAATTATTAGTACCAAAAATTCAGCCCAAGTAGTGTACAGATCAATAGGTTTATCTTTCCCATTAGCTGGCCTAGAGAAGCAAGTTTACAAGGATATTAGAGGTGCAAGGTTATACAGTAGTTGTAATGGGAGCCTTTATCCTCAAACTGGGATGGGAAATGGTGAAAGTCAGTGGAAAGAAAGGGTCTAAAATGGTTGAGAAGATTCCCATGATCAATCCATTTCTTGTATTATTGTTGCATCTTCTAAAACTTGCTTTAACTACCTACCTATCCTGGCCCCACGCTATGTCACATCCGATTCCAGCCCCATGTGCCACACCAATTCAGAACACACACCACCCACCAGATATCTGAAGACCAGCATCTTGGAGGCCTTGCCATCTTTAATGGCCACTATGCACCTGGACACTGGCATTCCAAAGCTGCCCTACCTGAGGTAAGAAAGTTCACAGAACATGTCAGAGGAAGATGGGGCGATGATTCTCAGGCAGACAGCAACATGCCCAAGATGTGCAAGCACACACAGCTGCTCCGAGGTTATGACAGTAGTTGATAAACTTATCACTGCATTAAAAGGTCTCTGCCACACATGGACCTTGAAGGGCCTGTGCAGCTGGAAAAGAAATTAGAGAGTGAATGTTGGTCCTTGCAGAAGACCAGGACCACTCCAAATGGAGGTGCCAAGACATCCATATCCCACCAACTGAGTAAATCCCACTCTGCATTCCACTACAACTCAATGCCAGAATGGGGGACTAGTCGTTACACATCGCGGCTAACCACTGGCCAGGATGCTCTCACGTCTTGCAAATGCCACCAGCACATCTACCACCTCCACAGGGTAGTGTCCAGTCCTCTAGACAGCACCCTCAAGCTCCAGGGAATGTGTACTAAGGGTGGGGAAGCATGCCCCTTCACCAGCCCCGATACTAACAGAAGAGGAGGGGGGAGTGGAG